CCAAAAAAAAAAAAAAAAAAAAACCTTGCACTGGTCACTATGTCATATACAGGCACGGCGTAAGAAATCATTATATTACATGCACTCAAATCTGAAAAAGTTTTATTTAGTACTTGCTATTGTTTTAAGAAATACCTGCCAAACAATCCTCTGATGTGTCATGAATGATTAAATACACAAATATTTCCAGAGACACACAAGCGACAATGTGCTTATATCTAATATGCAATAAATATGGAGAAAAAAAGGAAAAAGTCCCCATCCATGCAAAAAAGTATTTTCACTGTTGCAAAACTTTGTAAAGGCTTTATTATGTTATACTATTGTAGTGTTTACAGTCCTTAAATAATTGTTTAGAAAACAGCATACAATTTACAACATTTAATGTAAAATGGTGTGGCAAAATACTCAAGACTTGACCTTTATATGGACATTTTATGCCATAATTCCCAAAGCATCTTTCATAACTCTGATTGTTAAGGGAAGCTTTGTACGTGTTAGATCAAACTACATTAGCCTATAGAGCAAAAACAAACAGGTCCCTCTGAAACGAAGGAACATCTTCAGCATAAGGATGAAGATTACTGGAAGAGACTTTGATTTAACTCATATTACTAAGTTTTATCAATGTATCAGCTTTCTGTGCTTATCAGTGGTATAGTTTTACAAAAGAATATGTAAGGCATTTTGTATGCGAGTGTTAAACCCAATTTACATATTTAAAAATGGTTTATAATCCAACATCGATTTTGTTTTTTCTAAAAAACTTTTAAGTCATCCCCTGAAAACAGGGCAGATAGTATAGTTTCTGTACATAAATATTCCCTATAAAACACAAACTAAAAAAAAAAAAGAAAAGAAAAAACAACACTTTTTACAACGTTCATATATAAAAATAATAATCTCTTTTCTCGAACTCTGTCTTGGAGCCTCTCTACAAGCGTGAGCATACTGAAGAAAACATGAACATGCAGTGTGAATAAAACCAGCACGACGACAAACTCTTAAAATCTTGGCATTCAAATGAGTTCATATAGAAAACAATCATTACAAACATTCACTACAGAAGCTTAAAAACGTTCCTCTGCGTTCTATTGTTGCAGCCTTCTTGAAGTGTCTCTATATAAAAGTGCACACACCTGCACGTCTATGCAATAAAACCAGGTGCTGAAATGCAACTCCTCGCACTGCATCTTTCAGTAACGTTGTGCTCTCTGTAAACTGTTTGTGTGTTACATAAGCCAACACGCAGTACTCTTACATTTTTTTTTTTTTTGTAGTGCACAAGTATCAGCTTTGTTGAAAGTCTACGAGGGGACTGGATCTCTTGCCACAAGTGTCATGTGCAAGTTTTCCAATGTAAATGTAAGCATGCAGTGTGTGACCTGCGATCCGTGTGTCTTAGTCGCTAACATCTAAACCCAGCCCGGTCATGTCAGCAGATGACAAATCTGCATCGTCTTCATTGCCGCTTTCCTCTGATTCATCCTCGCTGTGATTTCCCATCATGACTTGCTGCATGGCGAGAGTTGCTCCATCTGATGAAAGCGCCTGGAAGCCATCGACGTTCATCCCCACTGTAACCATACTACCTGCAAACAATCACAACACATTCAGTAAAGGAAAATCTGTAATATAAAACCAAGAAAACAGACTTTGTTTTAATATTGGAGCATGAGTGCTGTAAGAACACATTATTTTGAGGCAGTACCATCTGGCATTGTGAGTTGCTGCTGGGTTCCAGATGAGGCGATGGAGTCAGACCAGAAGCGGTGTAGCGGGCGGCTCTGAGCAAGAGTCTTCTTCTTGGTTTTAGACATCTCTGTGGCGCTGGCATCTAGCATTGGCTGCAAGATCCGTCGTCGAGCATTAATAAACCTGCAGGACAGACCCAAAAGACAATATTTTCCATCACTCGCTATGCATGGAAGAATAAAAGACATTGTTATATAAAGAACAATATAATCTAGATCAGTGTGTGGGAAGTAAATCTGTAGTAAATTATAATGAATGGCTTTGCAAGTTATTTTAATTTCACATGCTGTATTTCAAATGATTTTAAATGTGTGATGCACACAACAGCTAATAAACATCAACTTGATATCATGTATAAATAAGTGATAGAAATGAATATTCTTTACATTCTAAATTCAGATGTAGTTATTTGGATTACTGTTCACATTATAATTATTTGGCTTTGTTAATGTTACTTTTGTGTTTAGGACTTTAATGAGTGACGTCGTAATAAATGCCCAACTCAGAAGTAAGTTTCCCAGGTGCACTTCAAGGCAGAATGTCTGAATATTTCAAGGAAATACATAAATGCACCGTATTTGAGAACTTAATTTAAACATTTTTAATACGTAAGGAGATAAAAACATAAGATTAGGAACTTTAAAATAGGGCTGTCAAAGTGGGCTGCTATTTTGGTAATTAAGTAAAAAGTAAAAATGAAAGACAAATGTGTTTATACAAATATAATAATGTGGCAATAATGACAGGATTACGTTTGAAAAATAAAGCTTATGATTTTATGATATTATTGAACAATTCTATTACAGTACACAACATTTTATTATGTGGTTAATTTCACATAATCAATTAATCTCAGAATAATTCATTCCGGACAGGCTGGAACAACAGAGTCACTGTCTACTTCGTGTTCTTGCTGGATTGACTTACCAGTTGTTGACTTGGAGTAAAGTCAGGTTTGTTTGAATTGCAAGTTGCTTTTTCTCTTCCTCAGTGGGATAGGGGTGCTACATAAAGAAGGTGAACAGTGAAGTGTTCATTCATTTATATCAGGTAAAACAAAACTGCAACGACTGACTTTAAACATTTGTTTGCCAACTAACCGCAATGTGCTGGAAGAGCCAGGAGCGCATGACATTGGTAGCCTGTTTGGGAAGAACACCACGCTTGTTTTTAGGTGAGCTGTCATCTCCCCCAAAGAAACTCAAGTCCTGATTGAGCTGAAGCTGCAGGAAGTACAAGGAGTCACTGATCAGTGAGTCTGCTTGTGATCTGTGTAAAAATGTTTGTGTGTGCCCTGCTGGAGTGTCATGCACACCTGTGAGTTCTGGATGTGTATTGTTCCAGGTGAGATGGCTTGTGTCACCACTTGCCCCTGTGGTGTGACTACCGTCACTGGATGATATACTGTATTACCTGCACAAAACAAGATTTTGTATTTTCTTTCCCCCCAGAGGAGCCATCATTTCAACCAAATAGCCAATGTTGCCAATTAGATTCAAAATTAGGACTGCACGATAAATCGCATGCGATATTTAACGCGCATCTTATCAGTAAAGTCGCTTCTGTAATCAGCGGTAAATCTCCATCACCTGCGGGCTTTCACGATTACAGAACCGGCTTTCTGACAAGATGCGCGTTAAATATCGCATGTGATTTATCGTGCAGCCCTATTCAAAATGTTCACATATAATAAACAAATACATGATAAATGCCATGAGAAAACGAAGAGTTTTTTTAAAAAATGGAAACTTCTAAAATGATTTAAAACAGTGAATCAGCTTTTTTTAACAAAACTTTAAAGGGGTCCTATTATGCTTTTTCACTTTTTCAACTTTTTCAAAAACTACAACGAGCGACTCGTTTGGACTACAACGCATATTTTCCAGGATTTGTGATATCACTAATATCGACGAATGGGACGAGACCTGGTTGAACTGCACTAGAGAAGGCAACGAGTGTTATCTCTATGTCGGAGACGCGCTAGCTTTCCCAAGGCAGACTAATTTAGAGTGGTTACAATCATCCGGGTTTAAATCACACTCAAATTTATTTGATATTGATGCAATATTTACACTGAAGACCCTTCATTTGATGAACTATTGGAGCTGTTCATGCCAGACTGGGGAGAGAGGTGTTGTAATAATGTAAAATACGTGAAAAATAATGTGTTTTTCGAACAACCTAGTATGAGAGCCTGTTCTAGTACACCCCCAAAACAAAATCAAGACTTTGTAAAAGAGCACAATAGGACCCCTTTAAAGCTACCCACTAGCACCAACATTCACATACGATTGTCACATTTCCCCTGCTAGTGGCAGTCGCACAGAACTTTCAAATTGCTCTTGAAGCAGCCGTTCATTACCAACACAAAACAAAAGACAATCATATTAAAGAAAATAAAAGTAAATATTAACTTATTAATTATAAAATAATTATTTCAGATATAATTATTCATACTCATTTTACAGAATAACATTGACATAGAAATCTTGTTTATTTTCACCTTGTGCTCAGTTTTTTTTTAGACTATATCCCAATCCAGTCAGGTGGTTGCATACAAACTATCTGCAAAAGTTCAAATATGCCATATATGCATATGATTGTAACTCCTCGCAGCTCCCAATGTAACTAATGACAGATGAACGTGTACCTGTGACCACTTGTGATGGATTGACTGCGGTCACTGTAATATTGCCTTGTTGAAGACCTTGTGAGGGCAGCACAATGCCCTGGGGACTGAGGGCAGCTGAGAAAGAGTTGGACAACTGCAAAAGAATAAATCAATTAAACACTACATCAGTGTACTCGCTGTGAGTGTTAGTGTCTAAAATTCAAGGAAAACAGCCTTTACTTGGTCATGGCCTGGAGAGTATGGGCTGCCTGGCCCTCCACTCAGTAGTGTCTCACTGTTCATCTTAGTCTTGAGGCAGGAAATGTAACGGCTGCAGAAGTCCTTGCACAGGTCACTGACTTTCTCTAGCTCTAATAGATGAATCCTCAGCACCTGGATGGCCTTGACCATCTGATAGAAAGGAAACAGTTGTGACACTTGCCAGTGTTTGAAGTTAAGATCAAAGCTATGAGGTATATACAATAATATTAGCTATTTCGACACCTGTCACATCTCTTACCAAGTTGTCAAGGTCTGGGTCTTCGCTAAAGAAGGCCTTGCCATCTTTCTCCTGACTGCGTACAAAGTTTTCAATGTCAACATCAAAACTGGCAGAGGTTACGCAGTCAGAGCCCTGAGTAGACTGCTCACACTTCTCAAACAGCAGGGCCAAGAGAGGGAAGAGGGGATGTCTGTGGAGGAGAAGAACCATGTGTAAGAGAAGACACTGTTCAAGTCACTCCTTGAACTAATATGCTGATTTGCTCAAGAAATAATTCTTATTATCAATGTTGAAAACAGTTGTGCTACTGCCACATGAATACAAAATTCAAAAGAACAGCATTTATTTGAAATAGATTATCTTCTGTAAAAATTGCAAATGTCTTCACTGCCACTTTTGATCAGCTGAATGCATCCTCGCTGAATAAAACTATTAATTTAAAGATATATTTCTAAATGTAATGTATATTTATAAAAAGTATAAAGTGTAAATTCAGACACTCATGTCACCTATATATACAGGCTTTGTAGACATCCATTTGTGTTTGTGGTTCAGTGGATACAGGGCTGCTGGAGCTTCCCGTGTTTCCACTGGCAAAGCCCTTCTCAAGGTCACTCTCGGACTGCTCCATGATCTGCATCTAATCCAGGAGAAAACAGCCAAAAAGGGATTACATTTCATATATTAGTTCTAACAATATGCTTGAAAGTGGTATTTTAGCATTTGTAGCTCAATCACTTCCAGATGTACACTTTAACAGTACACAAAGACTCATAAACAGCAATGAAATAAAAAAAAAAAAAAAAAAAAAAATTAGTTTAAATTTTGATCGTCAACGTCAGGAACAAAAAACTTAAATTTATAATAGTTCTTTAAATTTCTCAATTTTATATGAGATTTGCAATTTTTGTAGTTTAAAACCCTGATTTAAGTGACTGTTATCTAACAAAAAAGAATAAAAATCTAAATCAAAGGGAGCCAAACTAAATTGTATAATAATTCTTTAAATTTCTATAAATTTTATGACATCTGTGCAACTTTTGTAGTTTAAACCCTTGATTTTACTGATTTGTTTTCTAGCAAAAAAATGATGAATTAATTCAAATCCAATTAAATGCTAGTCAATCGTTGGAATCCTCCTCACACAATGGACAGACGAACCCGGACTGTGTATTTGTTGGACATTATCTCGATGGAACGCTCAGCTTCTCGTATACATGGATCTAATGTGAAAACTGTAAATTTATGGCATTCAGCTTTTAATGTTGTGTCAGCTTTTCTAAAATCTTTGCTATTTATCTATTATTATCAATTAATTTATTTGTATTATTACTATTTATTTATTTTTATATATATACATATTTTTATTTTATGATTATTATTATTTATTTTTTTTAAGTCTACCAGGGTTGGGGTGGGTTCTACATTTACACAGTTGCTGTTTGTTTTATACAGTGGGTACGGAAAGTATTCAGACCCCCTTCAATTTTCTCATGGCTGTATTAGATCAAAAGGGTGCTTCTACTAAATACTGAGCAAAGGGTCTGAATACTTAGGACCATGTGATATTTCAGTTTTTCTTTTTTAATAAATCTGCAAAAATGTCAACGATTCTGTGTTTTTCTGTCAATATGGGGTGCTGTGTGTACATTAATGAGGAAAAAAAATTAACTTAAATGATTTTAGCAAATGGCTGCAATATAACAAAGAGTGAAAAATTTAAGGGGGTCTGAATACTTTCCGTACCCACTGTATTACTATTCCCAGAAGAAAATTCAATAAATATTTGTTAACAAAAAAAAAAATCAATCAATTAAATGATCAACCAACTAAATTTTATCCAATACAATTTTAGTAGTTCTTTAAATTTCTATAAATTTAACTAGGCTTGACATTTTTGTATGGTTTAAAACCCTGATTTGATATCCTACGTTTAATTACTTTTAAAATTACTAAAAAATTAGGTTGGGGTTGGATGGATGAACAAGATCAATCCTGTCAACATTATAATTTGTGTAAAACAATAAAATGTTGAGATTTATTCTTTCTGCACAGAGGTCTAAATATGTCAAATGTAAAGATTACGACAAAATTTGGAGAAACGGGAAAATGTGATGCATTTAAAACTAGTTCTGTTTCAAGCCAAGTTAATTGTATGATAGTTTCAAACTTTCTTGGGGGAAAAAAGTAATGGGACACCAAAGTGTGCGGTTCTCATGAAAAGTGGCAATTAAATATTTAACATTATTATTATCATTTTTTTTATATATATATATCACTGCTACCTGCTGATCTCCCTCTTGATATTTGTCTATGGACACAGAATGGGCAGCCATCATATTCAAAGTGACCACTGCCAACACTGGGGCATTATATGGGCAGGCAGCAGGAAACGACCTAAAACTAACCACATGCAACTTTAAAAAAGAACAAAAAAAAGGCGTTAGACAGAAACAACATTATAGAAGTTAGTCAAAACTCCCGTGTAAACCACTTTTGATCTTAACCAACATGAAGATACGGGTTTCTTTCTTTCGTATTTATCATAAGCAGCTAATAAAAGGGGGAATGCATGGCGTAAACTTGCAATGGGAAGCCTGCCCTGGATGTATTGATATGTAAAACCAGTGTTATGTACTGCAGAGCGCCATGTCCATGCTTTACAGCACACTTTATTCACACACCCACTAGCACGAGTACTTCAATATTTCTCTCATGCCTTGCGACATTCGTGTTGATCAAGTTACATACAAGCTATTTATTATCCAACAAAACTACGCTAACTTCACATAACGGCAAGACCGTTTAAGCCAATCATAATAAGAAGCAATCTGATAATTTCGTTTACAGACAAAAAAACAAGTCTAGCTAACGCGTTGCTGGGGTAAAAAACGACATGTGAAGCACTAAACCGCGACGCGTTTCAGTCAGTCGGCGCTTATCAGCTCGTTCAGCCATCGACTAAACTTCGAAGAGCAAGGAAACACTCGTCGGTCCAGCCTAAATGTTCACGTTATGTGGACGGAGAAGTAATGTAGCAGCGGGTGCTGAAGTAGCAAACGCCATGTTGCCCCTCTAACAAGCGAGCAGAGCGGTTAGCTGGCACATTAGCCCGCTAGCAGCACCGCCAGCTAATCCTTCACGTCTGCGGCACATGAGCGCGGTCCTCAACGTAAATACAATTTAAAGGACGTTAACGTGCACTTTTAATTACTGTTAGTTAAAAACAACAACTCTAAAGCGGTTAATTTAGGCCGGAGCCCGTCGTCTAGCGTTCCTCTGGCCTGACTGAGAGCGGCTCAACCGGGCCTTCACTCAGCGCTCGCCCTCGCTAGAATCAAACCTCCTGTCCTTTAAAAAGCCGACATATTTTTCCCTCCTTCTAGAGGTTTTTAGGACAAGATTGGCTCGACTGTCCCACGCAAGTCCCGTGAGCCCCTAACAGCGTATGCTCTCTTTCACTCGGCGCCGGGCATCTGTGTGTGTCGCTCGGATTGTTTGATTGATAGGGAGCGGAAAAAGACGAGTTTGAGTGACAGCTTACCTGGGTGCCAATCTTCGTCACACTGACAAGCGGCTGCAGCAATCGGGATCCGCATTTGTCGCGCTGCGTCATCACGCACGGGGACGCAGGGCTCCAGCTCATGAATATTTAAGTAGGGGGAGGAGAAGTGACTCGCCCTCGGCGAATATTGTAAACACTCCGTTTTAGGAGGACAGGGACAATTAGTTTTAAAATCTGTGCCATTTAAGTGCAGTTTCGTTGTTTGATGTTCTGCGCCAAAATGTATTTTCTCAAAAATGTCACCATTTCCTTCAGGTTTGTCTACATTTTAAATAACTTTTTGAATTCATTCGTTCATTTCGAAGGATCTTGCAGTGCGGAAATAATTCTTGAAAGTACAGAAAGTCCATTTAGTTGCTATGGAAGCTTGTTTTCCCACCACGGGATGGATGGATAAAAAAAAAAAAGAAAAAAAAAATGCTACTTTTATCTCACAATTCAGACTTTTCCCTTGCAATTTGTAGGGGGAAAAGTCAGAACTCACACGTCTGAGAAGAAAAGGCAGAATTGTGAGATATTAACTTTCAGTTGCGAGTAAAAAAGAATTGACATAAAAAGTCACATTTACTATTTCATTTTTAATTAGGTGGTGGAAACAAAAGAGAGATGTTAAGATGTAAACTCAGAATTCTGAGAAAAAAGGTCTGAGCTGTGAGAAAACCTAACCCTAAGTGTAAAAAAAAAGCTGCGTCCCAAATGATGCGGTATGCACTTATACACTGTTCTTATGCATCATGCTGTGTAGTGTATGAATTATATAAGGTTATTTTGTCATTCATAATCAGATTCTGATAGCCCCTCCCCCTCTGCTACGTAATTAAAGCTGCGACAGTTGAGTGCATGAAGTGTCCAACATTCCACACTTCGTTTTTTCGGGTATTTAAAGTGCACTTTTTCTATTTGGAATTTTCAGTGTGAACGCACTACTCGCACTATTTACTACAAAATACTACAAAGTGGCATAGAATAGTGCATAAGTATGTGAATTGGGACGCACCTTCAGAAGCCTGATTGTGAGATGAAAAGTCAAAGTAACCTTATTTAATTTTTTTTATTCCATGGTGGAAACTAATAATTAACATAAGGCAGAAGTTAGTCATAAAACATTAGAAATGAGGTCATTTCGAAATGGATCATGTTAGTCTCACATTTTAATTAATGTAGGAAATACAGCGTTTCAACCATTTGCCAGTTTAATGTTAGAAGTACACTACCCTCCTTTATTAATAAAGTCAAGGCAAGCGTAGTCTCATTAGATTAAAGTGTAAATTGAGATGAACACCATTCAAATACTGTAGAAGACAACAGCAACAAATAACTCTAGATACACTCGGTTGAAGTGAAATCATTTTATTTCCATAATTATAGAATTCTAGCATAAAGCTTGCGATTTGCCAGTAAATCATCTGAGGAACAATGAACATGGGGAAGAAACAGGGTTGTGTACAAAGGTAGCAATACCACAGGCTCAGTGTCCGGGTGAGGATCGGCCTGAGGAAGGCTGGGGAAGACGGTATTTAGACAGATCTACATCCACATCAGCAAAGGTGTACATGTTGTAGTGGTGGTGCTGCAGGTTCTTGTACGTGGTGTTGTCAAAGGGTTCAGGCTCTGGCTCTGGCTCCGGGGCTTGTTCTGAGGAAATCAATAATGTACGAGATTAAATGTAAGACATGTGGAACTGGGAAAAAAAATATCACACAAAATGCATCTGACAGCAACTGAAAGACAAGAAGTTGTTTCAGGAAAAAAGCCCAAACAATGAGTACCGTGCCCAAGGAACAACTAAATGAACATTTCTTTTAGATTGGAAGATAATCTCGAGTTAAAATATTTGCGCAAGGAGAAATCAAAGTAAAAATTCAACTACATGCCGAGTAAGTTTTTTACAAAGTGATCATAGAAGGAAGAACCGAGGAAGAGTCTTCCTGTTAATTCCTTACTCTTCAAAAGGATTTCAGATTTGAATCTTCACACTTGCATGGTGTTACAGTAATCACTTTCAATCCACAGGTGGTCCTTTACATAAAAGGTGTGAGGGGCCTCTAGCTTTTTACCTAGACTACAGACGTCTGACTAATTACTCTGTCATTTTCCATTTCACCCACTACAGCTCAAGTCAATCAAACTTTAAAATAAACCAGATGCTTCTAAAGACAGGATCTTTCCACATTACTCTATTATTTTGCTCAGTTTTTACCATAAATGTTATAAAACAACATTATATCACCATGCATAACTACACAAACTGATAAATCAGTTTAAAAACTCTAGATCTACAGTACTATTTTGAAATGAGTTATATACTACAAAGCAGACAAAGGAGTAGTAAGTAATGAATTATTAATAGAAGCCATTTTAAACCTTAACCAAAGGAACAATCAGTCCAGGTAGATGCATCCATTTGCAGTCATGCAAATTTATGAAAATACAATAGGTAAAAAAATAACTTGATAAGAAAAGCAAATGTAATGCAAATGCATAATGAAGATTAAAAGTTGCAAAGCCATTTGAGCAAAGCCTTTGTGCAAAAGCAATCCCACTGCTGCCATGAAAAGGTATTAGTGTTAAATAAATGGTAAGAGAAATGTGTTTCTGTGATGTGACGGATCCAGAGAAAAAGAAACTGAGTAAGGATGTGTGGTGTACCCTCAGGTGTTTCCACAACGTTCGTCTCAGCCCGAGCGTCTACAGCATCAGCGGCCGGCCACAGGTGCAGGGTCTACCAGCTCTTCTGAAGGGGCTGCCGGCATTCCTGCCTCAGCTTTGGATGATGCATCCTCAGGCTTAGCTGCAACATCTCCAGGAGCCTCAGGAGCTACTCCATGACTATCTTCAACAGCGGTTTTGGCTACTTCTTCAGGGCTAGGTTCTGTAGGGGCTTCTGGGACAACTTCTGCAGAAACTTTGACAGCATCTTCAGCTTTGATTTCTGGTTCCTTTTGAACAACAATCTCCTCCGTAGATGCCTTTTTAACATCTGTTGCGGTGTCCACTGTCTTGTCAGGAGTGTCAGCTGTAATTGATTCACTGGACACTTCTGGAATTGCTTCAGTTGTGGAGGGAGATAATATAGGGGCAGGATCAATAAGGGTCTCATCTGATCCGTCTGGTTTAGCACTTGGTGCAGGAACCTCTTCTGGTTTTGCTTTAGTCACAGTTTCAGCATTTTCTTGAGCTTCTCCAAATGAGGCAGATTCAGGTTTTGCTTCCTTATCTGCAACATCTACTTCAATTGTCAGACCAGGTGATTTCTTCTGTGCTGCTTTCTCTCCAGACTCGACTGGTGTTTCAGTCTTTGGCTTCTCATCATCAGAATCAGAGTCTGAATCAGAATCACTGGAGGATGAGGATGAAGAAGAGCTATCGTCTTCATCTTTCTGGCCTTCTGCCTCAACATCTGAGGCCTTACTTGCTTCACTTCCTGTAGTGACTTCATTAGTAGGTGGGACTTCAGTGATCTCTTCAGCTGCTGCCGTATCAGCAACTAGACTGCCAGCTGTCGTCTCATTTGCAGCGGCTGTGGACACAGCCTCAGTGGTTTCAGACTCACCTAAAGCTATGTCTTTGGGAAGAAATCCTGTGGCAGACAGCTTAGAAGGGAAGGCAACTGCGGGCTTGTAGGCTAGTAGAAAAGCCCTCTCATCGGCCTCTATGGCTGAGGAAATGGCAAATGGGATAAATTACATGAGATTTTTTTTAGCTTATTACATTTGAGAAAACCTCCTGTTCAATGTAGACATTAAACCCAGCAAACACCGCAAGAAAACCTTGCACACCCTGTTAAAGTCCCTTGCCTGAATGTGGAAAGACCAAAATATGTTTGCTATGCTTCAATAAAATAGTTCATATCACTAATAAAGTCTTGCAAAAATGTAGACTGTAGAAAGAATGCAGAAAATAGGCTAAAACTGCATTTTTCAGGCTAGTCCATCTAATGAGCAAACACATTGTAGAGCAATAATTTAATTTAAAGACCTCATGAAAACAAAATTGTTGTTTTGTGCCTTTAAGTCCTTGTCTGTAATTCTAGAAGCCACATACACGACCGTTAAGACGTTTGGGGTAAGTATGTTTTTTTTTTTCTAAAAAAGATCAAAAGTGAGGGTAAAGACGTGTGCGATGTTACAAAATGTCTTATTTATTTTTTCATCATTCCACTCATCAAAGAATCCTGAAAATATTAAGCAGAGTAACTATAGACTGGAGTAAATGCTGCTGAAAATTCAGCTTTACCATCACAGAAATAAATACAATTTTATAATATATTAAAAAAAGTGTTCTTAAATTGTTATAATATTTCAGAATATTACCTTTTACTGTATTTTGATCAAATAAATTAGCTTAAAAGAGTGAGCATAAGAAACTTATTTCAAAAACATTAAAAAAAATCTTACCAGACCCAAACTTTTGTAGTAGTGCATATTCTAGTGTACTACTAAAAGATGAAATAATTATCTTTTACCAAATATACAGTTTTAAAATGTACAAATAATTCCATGAAACATACCTATATCATCTTGCATTCAAGGGCGTATACAAATGTTGCATGTCCAATACAATGCTCTCTTGAATGACAATGTGTCCCTTTCCCTAAATTATAAATACCTGCCATCACAGACTAGTAGCAAATCATGGCTGTGACAAAAAAAATTTAAAAAAAGGACAAGCTCTTCAATATGTCCCGCACCAAACAAATTCATTAAAACCATTACTTTACACATTAAAAGTACTATAAAATTGTCTGTAAAAATGTCACCTTCAATAGTAAAAGCATTGATGAATCCCTTCACCAAAGATATTCATCTTTTGAGGAAATTTGTGTACTTTTAAAAGCAATTAATATAACTGCATGGGCTCACATTGTATGTCCTCAACAAGTTCAGCCAAAAGTAAATGATGCTTTTGAAAGCACATGTCTTTGGAAAGCATGAGGGTGAAAGGATGGGATCTAGTGATC